TGAGGAGGAAGAGGAGGAACAGTGGAAGCAGGGTGCAGCTATCCTGGAGCAGAGATGAGGTTTTGCTGTCTGGCCGGAAGGCAAAAGCAGTGAACTGTGAGGAAGCCTGAAGCTGGTAGGTGGAATCCAGAGACCTGGAATGAGGCTTGCAGGTAGCAGCAGGACCTAGCTCCATCCATACCTGGGATCCTGGCTTCACGACCTCCCATGGCCCCATACAGCCCCTGAGAGAGGCGAAGAGGTGGTGCTGGCCGCTGCTGTCCCCTTTCTAAAGCTGTCATCTGCAGCTGCTGCCAGCACCTTCTGAGTGGCCAGAGGTGACGGGTGGAATGTGTGTGTCTCAGGACTGTGTTGTCTCCTTTCATGGCACTGTCAAAACAAAAGAAAACAAAAACAGCTGGCCCAGCACTTTCATCTCATATGGCAGCATGGCTGAAGCCTGCTCTGACTTATGAGCAGAGCATTCACATGTTTAACCTAGTCCTTTCCATGAATGAAACCACTGGGAATATTTATTTTTCTGCAGTGTCAAGGATAGAACCCAGGGCCTTGTGTATGCCATACAAAGTACCACTGAGCCATCTCCAGTTCTGGGTTGAGAGAATATTTATTGAGCACTGCCATATGCCCTGTTTCTATGCTAAATTACACTAGATCAAGCAAGTCCCTGTGCTCCAGGAGTGATAAACTAGAGTTGGAACAGGGTAGAGAGAGGGGAGCTACAGGGCAGCCAGTAGGCAGGTGCAGAAGACTATAGGCATGAGGGCTGGGAAGGTGACCCAGTGGTAGAGTGCTTGCCTTGCATGCATGAGGCCCTGGGTTCGATTCCTCAACAATAAGCAGAAAAAGCCGGTACTGTGGCTCAAGTGGTAGAGCTAGCGCTAGCCTTGAGCTGAAGAGCTGAGGGACAGTGCCCAGGCCCAGAGTTCAGACTCACGACTGACAAAAAAACAAAACAGAATGACTGTAGGCATGAAACCCAGGGTCTTCCCCCAGGCTTCTCACTTGAGATACCATGGCTCCTTCCCAGAGACTGGACTGCTGCATTATTCCATTGCCCTCTGACCTCCTTTCCCTCCCTCACTCCCTTCCTTCCCTCTCTATAGTAGGTGGATTAGCCCTGCCCAGTTACTCTGGTGAGCCCCAGTGCACATCACACTTAGAGAGGGGTCCTTCTTATCTTTGGCAGTGTAGGGCTTGAATCCAGTATGCACTGACTGAGAAGATGTTCTGCTTTAGCCATGCTTTTGCCCTGGTTATTATTATTATTATTTTGCCAGTCCTGGGGCTTGAACTCAGGGCACTATCCCTAGGCTTCTTTTGCTCAAGGCTAGGACTCTACCACTTGAGCCACAGCGCCACTTCATACGTAGTACTGAGGAATTGAGCCCTGGACTTCATGCATACTAGACAAGCACTCTACCACTGAGCCACGTTCCCAGCCTCTGCCCTGTTTTTTTTTTTTTGTTTGTTTTGTTTTATTTTGTTTTTTTGTTTTGTTTTGTCCGTTGTGGGGCCTGAACTCTGGACCTGGGCTCTATCCCTTAGCTCTTCAGCTCAAGGCTAGTGTCACAGCGCCACGTCCGGCTTTTTTTTCTTATGTGGTGCTGAGGAATCGAACCCAGGGCCTCATACATGCAAGGCAAGCACTTTACCACTGAGCCACTTTCCCAGCCCCTGCCCTGGTTATTTTTGAGATAGGGTCTCACTTTTGTTTTAGTCTAGCCTGGACCATGATCCTCCTAATCCTCTTGTTTGCGCTTCCCACTGCTGCTGGTATGAGCCACCACACCCAGCTTTTGGGGATGACCATGGCAGGAGTCATCAACTCCTTCTAATCCCTGAGCTGTGGCTAATGGGGCTCACTGGAGCAGCGGTAGGCAATGGAGCATGGAGATGGTTGGGAAGAGAGCCTGGTGTGGACCAGTGACCATTTCAGCTGCTGAAAACCTGTGTGGCTTTCCCCATCCACCCCTTATCCACCTAGCATACTGCCCTGCTCCTCTGAGAAAATGATGTGTCTGAGATGACACCTGAGTTCTCCTGGCATGGCTGGGGTAGGAGTTTAACTCAGTGTAAGGCCAGCTTCTGCCAAGGTTGGGTCTCAGCTGCATTCCTGGATCCCTATGCTTTGGAGCGGGTAGTGAATAGGAAGCTGAGTCCAGGGCAAAAGGAAACAAGGTGGTCCCCAGGTAGGTAGTGACAGTGGTCTTTAGCAGGTCTGCAGGGCAGCAGGTAGCTAAAGGAAGACCCAACCACAGTGAGAAATTGCTTTCACCAGATGTAACCCACTCTCACCTCCCTGTAGTGCCATCTTAGGGGCCTGATGCCAGCTCAGAGGGGTTGGCTACCAGAGCAGCAGTGCACACCTCTCCTTCCCACCCAGAAGCGGGTGACGGATTCACACCAGTGAGGTATATTCTAGATCGTGCGGTGGGCCACAGGACTGGAGGCTGAGGCAGCGGCTGGCAAGCTGTTCCACTTCCATTTCTGTGTCCAGCTGCCTTGGCTCCACTGGCTTTCTCCTTCTCACCAGGCACTCCCTTTTCTTGCTACTGCCCATAAGCCCCCTGGCTCTGAGGAATGCATGGGTGCGGCTTCCCTGGGAGAGCTGCTTGGAGGTTTCTCAGGTGGGAAGCCCAGCCAGGAGAGAGGAATATCTGGAAGGACACTGGGTTTGTAGGGTTTTTCTAAGGCCCTTGTCCAATTTGCCACTCCTGATCTTCCTCACCAGATAGCAGTGGGCTCAGACTTCTAGTCCTAGACCTATAGAGCACAAGCAGCTTTGGCAGTGAGGCTGAGCAAGGGGGGTGGGGGTGTCTCTCAGGCTGCGCTTGCAGTGCTGTGCTGTTCTCCCCATGCTTAGACAGGCAGACCCTCAACCCGACTAGTCCATCCCAGGACTCCCCCTTCTAGAAACCCGCAGGTGTCAGGGTCTGCACGCACCATGGTACTCTCTGCAGCAGCAAGAAAATTGGCCCAAGTTCCCCATTGTTCAAATGAATCATGGGCATCACTTGGCAGGAGGCAGAGCCACATGCAGTAGTGTGAGTGATGCCTACGGTGCTTGTTAGGGGAGGGGGGAAGAAAGTTGCAGAAGCTATGAGTAGCCTGAGACCTTTTTATAATCACACGGTGTGGATCTGGGGTGTGTGTGTGTGTGTGTGTGTGTGTGTGCGTGCGTGTGCGTGTGTGTGTGAGAATCTGTGTGGGTAAACATGACATACATGGCTGCAAAGAAAAAGGCTAAAACAGACACTTGACAAACAGATAATAGTGGGTTTTAGAACAGTGCGTGAATGGGTGGTTTTGGAGTCAACCTGTTGAAATAGGAGTTTTAACCATTTAACAATATGTTATGCAGTTTGACTTTTCATAATATACCTGACTTTTTAATACTAATTAAGTTTATTTTAACTAAAAGATAAAGACAAAATTGTACACATCAATAGTTTACCATATGTTTTGATATATGTAGAATATCAGATTAAACATATCTAGCTTCTTAAAAATTTATCATTCATTTATGGTGAAAACATTCAAAATCCTTCCAGCTTTTTGAGATATTCCATACATAGTCTTTATCTATAGACAGCTACCCTGTAGCCACTATGCTGCACCATACCGGAACCCCTCCCTCACCTGACTGGTGGTAAAGAGGAAGAGTGAGAGCAACATCATGCCCATTGGTTGCGCCTGCTCAGTCATCTTACAGGTGGATGTCCTGCGCAAGCAGTGCCTTAGCTAGGCTTGCTGAGCCCAGTCTGCCCCTGCCTGTCGCCTTCCTGACCCAAAGCATTTTGCAGAAGAAGGGTTAACTGAGTGTAGCTTGGCACCCGTGAGGGTGGCAGAGTGCTGAGTGCAGGGATCCTGCCACTTCCAGCCCCAAGTTGAACATCTCCACTCTTCCTGGCATGTCTCAGCCACTTGTCTCCAAGGTGGCTGAGGGCGGAGAGCACCTTCCCAGCACAGCGGGCACTGGCTCTCCTGCCCTTGCTCTGTTCTTACAAAGCAGCTGGCCTTGAGCAAAGTCTCCCAGAGACTCAGCTGCCTCAGTTGCTTCCTGGAGAAGCTGAGAGATCCTGAAGAAGCTTTGCCCAGGGTGCAGCCAGGTGATTCTTTCCTTCTTAGCAGGCTCAGTCCTCAGTCCCCCAGGGGAGAAAGTGAAAAGTGTCAAGGACCTGTGGAATCCTATGCTTAGGAGGCTATGGACCGTTAGAGGGCTTGAGCTGCAGGGCAGGCAGCTATGCCAGGGTTGGGCCTGGCGGAGGCTTCTGTGGGAGGCGTCCTTTGACCCTGTGACTTTGAGAAACAGAAGGAAAGCTGGAAGGGCACTGACCACCAAAGTGAGGCCAGCTCCCCCACCATTGATCTGGTGGCATCTTCTGAGGAGAGGACCCAGTTCGAATGAGGGATAGCATGAAGAGCATTTGCTTGGAGGGGCTGCAGAGAAGGCTTAGAAGTGGGAGAGCCTTCATGAGCTGGGGACCTTAGGGGTGGCCCTGGAGAAGTGGGACCAGGCTGGCCAACCTACTCAGCTTCTTGCCCTGTGCCTTCTGCTAGAGTCCACAGAACTCTTTTAACTTCAAGGGCCAGGCCCACAGTCCCTCTGATGTTGAAAGCAAATGTATCTGCTGGCAGTATAAGAACACAGGTAAGGGGCTGGGAAGGTGGCTCAGTGGTAGAGCGCTTGCCTTGCATGCATGAGGCCCTGGGTTTGATTCCTCAGCACCACATAAGCAAAAAGCCGGAAGTGGCGCTGTGGCTCAAGTGGTAGAGCACTAGCCTTGAGCTGAAGAGCTGAGGGACAGCGCCCAGGCCCAGAGTTCAGGCCCCACGACCGGACCCCCCCCCCAAAAAAAAAAAAAAAAAAGAACACAGGTTCTTGGACAGAGGATGGATGCAGAACTTCCACCAGAACTTCGGAGGGTCCTTGATCCAAAACAGGTGAAGATCACAGGTCTAATCCTCCCCTGTGTGTCTCTCATCCTTTTTTCCAGGTGGAAAGCAGTGACACACCTAAGGATCCTGCCGTGCCCTCCAAGTCCCCCTCCACGGCCCAGGACTCAGGCCCCTCAGAGCTGTTACCTAATGGGGACTTGGAGAAGCGGAGTGAGCCCCAGCCAGAGGAGGGGAGCCCCGCTGGGGGGCAGAAGGGAGGGGCCCCAGCTGAGGGAGAAGGTGCAGCTGAGACCCCACCTGAGGCCTCCAGAGCAGTGGAGAACGGCTGCTGTGCACCCAAAGAGGGCCGAGGAGCCCCCGCGGAAGAGGGTGAGTCCACACAGGTCCAGGAGGGTGAGCTGGGGTGGGAACTGACAGTCTACTTGCCAAGGCTATGGCCTGGAAGCAACCTGCTGAATGCAGCCTCTATACATTTATTTGGTTCACATAATGTTTTAGACATTAAAAAAAAAAAATAGTTGCCAGTACTTTAAAAATCAAGTATTTTTACATGAAAATCTGGAAGTTTGGCTTTACATGGAGCGGGGGGGAAAGCCTGCTCTGGCAATAGTGGGTTTGCATAAAGCCAAGGATTGCTAGACTAGGACAACAGGTACCCTCCCCCCTTCCTTTTTGGCTGGTGTGTGCCTCAGTTTCCTCCCCAGCCTCCCGTCTGATCTTCTTATTCTTTGGATGCCTGCTCACCTCCTCCAGTGCCGAGGACTGCAGCTGGCTCACGGTGCTGGGAATCTGGTTGTGGCGATGAGGCTGAGGGAGCGCCGGCTAGGGCAGCCCAGCCCAGGCCTCTCCATCTGGGGACTTTTTGGCTTAGCCTCAGAATGCTGGCAAGTTGCCCACTTTTCTCTTTCAGGTTAAGCCAGAGATTTCAGGGCCAACCAAGCTGTAAACAAGTTAGTAATGAGGACAACTAGCATTTGTACAGGGCTTCGCAGTTTACACAGCACTTGCTCATACATTATCACATTTGATCCTCCCAGGGCCCTGCCAGGTTGTTTTGCATATGTGCATTTTAATTTCAAAAAGTCTTCCTTCCAAGTGTGTATGATGGCATGAGTAAATTGATTAATTGGCATCCTTGTTTTGCATGAATCCAAAACTAATATTTATGCAGAAGGGAACATTTCCAGAAAAGAGATTCCCAAACTTATTTAAAGATATCTTTCATTCATTATTCAACAAACATTTATGATGCTCCACTATGTGCAAAAGCACTTTCTGAGCAAACAATCATATTCAAGAAGTATTATTATTCCCATCTTAAGGGGATAATAATAAAGTTATAGCTTATAAAATGACTTGCTCACAGCCTCCAGCTCTGTAAGTGGCAGAGCCAGGATTCACTAAATCTTGCTCCTGTGCCTCTCACTCACCTCCGCTGTTCTGGAGTGGGGCTTGCCCTCCTGTTGTCCACCACACTTCATGGGAATGTTTCTCTTCCCCACAGTTGCTAATGCCAGGTGTGCAAAAGAGCCAGAAGCCCATTGTCCTTCCCAAACAGACATGGTAGGTTGGGTGCTGGCGGATTACACCTGTAATCCTAGCTATTCAAGAAGCTGAGATCTGAGGGTTGTGGTTTAAAGCCAGTCCAGGCAGGAAAGTCTGTAAGACTCATATCTCCAGTTAACCAGCAAAAAGCTGGAAGTGGATTTGTGGCTCAAGTGGTAGAGTACCAGCCTTAAGTGGAAAAATCTAAACAAGAGCAAGAGGCAGAGTTCAAGCCATACTAGCAGTGCATGCACATGCACGCATGCACACGTGCGCACGCACACACACACGTACACACACAACTTCCAATCTGACTTGGTGCTCCCCTAGGGCAAGTGTAGTTCACTTTCAGAGTGCTAGAATACTGCTAGCATGGAGACTAGGTCCAAGCAAGTCTCTCCTGACTCTAACTTCAGAGCTCCAGGGCTGCTCTTTGGCCCCAAAGGTTTATTTGCAGTTGGGAATTTCCATGTTTGAGTTTCTGGTTGTTTTCAGGAGCTCCTGCCATCAGCCAATACGTATTCATTAAGTACAGTTTAGTCTGTCAGGACCCCTGCCCATCTGGGGAAACAGAAACCTGGTTCTGGTCTTCCAAGACCTCACTGTTGGCTAGGGACACCAAATACTTTAAAATATGTGACTTTGTCTGGTGATTAGTGCTCTAAGCGTGTCCCTGGTAGGTGGGAGCAGGATACCAAGGGATGTGATAGAAGCCACAAGACTAAAGTAGGGAGTGGGTAGGGTGTGAGTGGCAGTGGGTGGCAGGTGGCCAAGGCAGGCCCTCTCAGGGGTGACCCAACAGGCCTCTGTTACTGGAAAGATCACTTTGCCGTATGGATCCCAGATAGACTGGAAGACTGGGAAGTGGGATGAAAGGTAGGAGGCCACGACAGGCATTAGGAAAAGCATGATACTGTCATAGAACAAGGGGAGTGACACATGCCAGGGATACAAGAGATAATGAAATGGTGTCCAGAATGATTTCTGGATTAGAGACTTCCAGACATGAAGGTTCTCAAAATCTTAGGCTGAGCATGGTGGGTACAAATGCTCTTGGCCTCAGAGATCAGCTAGTGGAGTGGCTGGGATGCTAAGGTTGTTGAGGTATTATCTAAAGAAGTGGGAGGAGACTCTGTGGGGTGCTGGGGTATGGAGGCCAACCACCATTCCAGAACCAGCTGACCCAGAGTCAGCCAGCCCAAACTGGGAGGTTCAGATGAGGAAGGAGTCGAAGCCCAAGGCAGGAAGTGACTTGGCCATGGTCTTCTTTCAGTTCCCCTCATTCTGGAGTTCTTTTCAGGGGTGTTTCAGCCATCTCTCCCAGAGTCCCTATCATTAGTCTTATATAGCAAAAATGGAGGCCATTAAGAAGCATCATCTAGTGGCCTAGACATGCTCCAAGCCAGGAGGAAGGATCAGGAAGAGGGGATGGAGATGAGCAAAAGGCCAAGAGCCAGCACCTGGACAGGGAGGCCGTGTTGGGGATGGCACCTGAATGCCTGGTGTTAACACATGGTGATCATGGTGACCAGGAGTGCAGGCTGGCTTTCACTGAGCACTGACCATGTGTGGAGGTGCCCTAAGGAGGTCCTCGTGATATCTGGGCATAGTGAGGTCTGAGAATCCTTAATCTCTTACTTCATCCTCATGATTTCCAGTTTCAGATGGGGACACCAAGGGTTCAGAAAGGTTAGATAACTTTCCAGAGATTATAGTGAAGGACAAGTGAAGGTGGTCAGCCCAAAGCTCCTCTCTGCTCATCTTGGGGCCTGGTACTGGGCTAGTGCCTGCCCTCTAAGGATACCTGGCCTCGGCCCAGTCACACCTTTCTCTTAAAGGCAATTTACTGTGACTCCTGGTCGAATATACTTTCAGACCAACAGGTAAGTGTTAGAAGCTCTTTACCTACTCTTTCCCTACGACCTGAGATATAGCCAGGGGTCATATTCCAGCCAGGGCCACCCTGGGACCTACCTGGGACCCTGGGTCTGCCCAGGAGCATATGGGCTGTTGAGGAACACTGAGAGAGCAGCTGACCGATGGGCTTCCGTGGCAGCCTGTTTGTGGTTTGCTGGACCAGGCTGCAGGGGGACAGTGATAGGAGAGACAGAGACAGAGAGAGAGAGAGAGAGAGAGAGAGAGAGAGAGAGAGAGAGAGAGAGAGAGAGAGAGAGAGAGAGAGAGAGAGAGAGAGAGAGAGAGAGAGAGAGAGAGAGAGAGTGTGTGCGCGCGCGCGCGCGCGCACGCACGCGCATGCGTGTTCACTCAAGTAGGCATGGCAATCTGTCAGGGAGAAAATTGCGGAAAGAAGCCTGTTAGAAATTGCATAAGGAAAAGTCATTCTGTTTGGGGAAGCTTGGCTGGGGGAATGGGCAGCATTACAGAATAACGCTGGAGAAGCCTTGTGAGTCAGGAGTCCCGCCACGTGACCCCAGCTCGGCTTGTAAGTCATTCCACTCCCCCAGCCTCAATCTCCTCGTTTGAAAAATGTAGGGGCTGGACAAGTACTCAATCACCAGTTCCTTTCAGCGCTGGTTTCCTTCCCTTCTAATGAATAAATGACAACCCGTAAATGGAATCATGCCACGGAGGGTCCCAGGAGGCTGAGGCGTGCAGCTGAGGGCCCTGTCCCACCTGCAGCCCCCAGATGCGGACGCCCGCGCAGAGCCGGCCCAGCCGGATCCAGGGCAGGCGCCCCCTCCTGGCAGCCCAGGCCTGGCCGGGCCCAGCGCCGTGACCGAGGGGGAAGGGGCCGGGCCAGCAAAGGCGGAGGGGGAACCCCGGAGAAGTGTGGGGAGCCGGCTGTGGTAGGAGAGAGGAGGGAGAGGTGGGAGGAGGAGGAGGGGGAGGGGAAGAGACTGAGACCAGGGCAAAGCGCACCTTAGGAGGCGGGTCACGTACGCCGCGCTGGCGAGTGCGTGGCTCTCCCACCCACGCACTGCGTGACAGACACCGTGCTCGACACGCCCCCTCGCCGGGCCACGCCCCCTCGCCGGGCCCACGGGGCGGCCCGCAGGGGCTCGGCCTTCCCGCCTCCCAAGCTGCTGTCACCCAGGCCCCGGAGCCCTGGGGCATTTGCAGGGCCACCCAGGCCAGGTCTGCGGAGAGGGACGGAAACACCCCCACCACAACCACCTCAGGCTGAGGATTCGGAGCCATAAATGCTGCGGTGGTTTCCGCCCCAGAGCTGGGAGACAAGCAGGGGCTGTTTTTTCCGTTTGAGGCTCTTTGTCTCCCCTCCCCACCCCTCAAACTACCACGAGCCAGCCCGAGGAACCTCCTTGATTTGGGCCCAAACTCAATACTTGGCTTCAGAGGGAGGAATTCGGTTCACCCCTCACCTTCCCAGGAAGGGCAGGGCCATCAACCAAACGCTCGCCAGAGCCACCCAACTGCAGCTGTATTGATCCCCCAAAGGGCCTCTGCTGCGTGAGGACCAGAGGCTCTGCAGGGGGGCGATGGAGAACCGGGCCGCAGCCTCGCCTCTCCACACCACAAGTCCTGAAACCCAGAAGGAAGGCTCTTTCCGAAGGATGGGGCTGTGGGAACTGGTGCTCCCAGCCAGCCGTCCCTTCCTGAAACGAATCTGCACAGGAACTTGGGAGACACTAGGGACAGGGGAGCAGGAAATGCCGCGTGTCAAGGATCTCCGGGAAGGAGAAGAGCACCAGCATTTAGTGTGTGAGCAGCCCTGCCCTACACACTCCGTGCTCCCCCAGCCCAGAGCTTTTAGAGCATTTATCCACCTTGTTTCTGTGAGGAAACAGGCGAGGTTAGGGAGGTCACCCTGAGCCTGCGGAAATCCAAACACAAGCCTTCAGGATTAGAGGCTGAGCTTAGGGCCTTGACAGCAGGTCAGGATGGAGGGCAGTGATAGGGCCATGCTATTGAGAATTGCAGGAGGACTTTGTAAACACTGATTAGCTGGAATCTTGTTCTGGGGTACCTTTCTTACCACACGAAAAAGCAAGGCTCCCTTTGAGGGCAGAGAAGGAGCATCTTCTCTGAGTACCTGAGACAGTCAGTGGGCCAGAGGCCACAGCCCAGATTTGTCCCAGCATTGGAACCTGAACCCAGTTTGCCATCCCCCCCTTTCTCTCTCTGTTTCTGCTCAAGGCCTCACACTTGAGTCCTTTGGGGCTAGCACAGTGCCTGCCTGGCACATGGCATGTCATCATGGATGACACTTAACCCAGATGCTGGGAGGACCCTGTTCCCAGTGCATACCAGGGCCCCGGCTTCAGTGAGCCCCTTAGCTACTTACAACTGTGCCAAAAGTCCCCTTGTTCTTCCCTCTTCACAGGCAAAGAACAGAAGGAGACCAACATCGAAACCATGAAAATGGAGGCAAGTGTTTTCCTCACCCTGTGGGGCTCTGTGGATCCTGATTCTAGAAGAAAGCCACCTCTGACGGACTGTGGCGAGTGTGTGTGTGTGAGGGGGGCCGGAGGGTGGGTCCCCACCCCTTCTTTGATATCCCTCTGTGAAAAGGAGAGGAAGTGGGGGTGGAGGCTGGAAGTCCCCCAGTCAGGCAGCCAGCTCGTCCTCCAGACATCACACCCCTCCCTCACAGCTTTGTCCATATGCTCCTACCAACCACACATCCCTCAGTTATTTGGCCCAGACAGGGCCTGCCAGGGCTTCCTAGCCAACCCTTTTTGGCCAGGAGCCAAATTTTCCCATTTTGTTAGAGGTGAGTGGCCCCCTCGTTTTCCCCTGCAGGAGGGGGCAAACCCTGAAAGGGCATCAGTGCCCATCTTAATGCCTGTCTGTGTCTCTGCCATCTCTCTGCCTAGGGTTCCCGGGGCCGGCTGCGGGGTGGCCTGGGCTGGGAGTCCAGCCTCCGCCAGCGGCCCATGCCGAGGCTCACCTTCCAGGCGGGGGACCCCTACTACATCAGCAAGCGCAAGCGGGACGAGTGGCTGGCACGCTGGAAAAGGGAGGTGAGGTGCCTTCTGGCCCAGGCCCCAGCTTATCCTACAGAACCGGAAAACTAAAAGTCAGCTCCAGCCACACTCTGGAACTGTTGGCAGGCTCAGGCTGAGCCTGGGTTTCCCCCTTGACTCCTATAATTTCCAGGGACATACTTGATGATCCCTAAGCAGTAGCTGGTTCATTTGTTTTCTCGACAAATATTTATGGAACACTTACTGTATACCAGGCAGTGTACTCAACTCCTGTTCTCATAGTGTCAATACTCTGAGGGGAGAAATGGGCTAGAAAACAGACAAGGGGAACCAAAAGTTCAGTGTGAGGCCAACTCTAGGCTAGGTGGTTGAGCGGCTTAGAGGAGGAGATGGCATTTCATTTAAAATCTAAAGGAACCAAAAAGGTAGCTCTGAGATGAGTGGGGCAGGGGCAGCATTAACAAGGTGCTGACTTGTTTGGCAGATCCGTGTCCAGTGTGCGGGGGAAGGTAGAGTCAGGCAAGGCTGGGGAGACAAGCAGAGGTCACGCAGGGTCTCCAGGTCCTGCCCACAGCTGGGCACTAACTGCCCTGGGAAGCCGTGGCGGCATCTGTGCAGAGGAGCCCAGTCCTTGTGGATTTGGGTGGCAACAGGGGATTCAGCTTCAGGCTGTGTCATGGAGGTAGACTCTTCAGCACTTGCTGATGGATGGGAAGGGCAGGGAACCCCAGGGGCCTGGCCTCATAATGGTTGAACCATCCACTCCCGTGGTAGGACAAAGGGAAGAAAAGGTGTGGGTGGGTGGGAATCCATGGTTTGAGGGACATGGGCTGGGTAAGAGCAGAATTTGGCATTTCAACCTCCAGAAGCCCAGGAGCTCGCCCAGCAGAGAGAATTCCAGAATCCTGTCTGTAGAAATGCCAATGTGTGGGCTGGGAAGGTGGCTCAGTGGTAGAGTGCTTGCCTTGCATGCCTGAGGCCCTGGGTTCGATTCTTCAGCACCACATAAGCAAAAAAGAAAAAAGTCGGAAGTGGCGCTGTGACTCAAGTGGTAGAACGCTAGCCTTGAGCTGAAAAGCTGAGGGACAGCGCCCAGGCCCAGAGTTCAGGCTCCACGACCAGACCCCCCCCCCCCCCAAAAAAAAGAAAGAAATGCCAATGTGTGCAGGCTGGGGCCTGTGAAGGGGCCCGGGAAGATGGGAATGTGTCCTAGTGGCTTTCCGAGAGAGGGTGGGCTGCAGACAGGCCTGGGCACTGGGCACTGGCAAGCGTGTGGGAGCTGGCGCCTTTGCTTGTGTATGCTGGGAGCCTGGTGAAAACAGCTCATGGGGCGTGGGGGACCAGCCAGGGAAGGAGGTGAAGAAGCCAGACCAGACAGGGGAATCACTTCTCCAAGCACAATGGTAGGAAGAGAGCGTCTGAGAGTGCGGCAGCATTTCACCTGAGCTCCCCCTCAAGTGAGAGCTGGCTCTAGAGAAAGTTCCAAGCCAGGGGGGAGGAGTATCATTTCTGAGGTCTTGATTGTTCCCCATTCCTTCCGGATCCAGGAAGACGGAAATTACTCTTCTGGAAGAGCCTGGGAAAGGGGCGGCTTGTTCAAGGTCTGAGTGGGGAGGCCCCCAGCCTGGGTGCTGAGCACTGACCGTGGAGTGGACTATTTCTTTCCAGTACCCTTTAAGAAGCCAGAGGGAGGGGCTTTGCGTCTTACCCCTGTTCTTTGAGCCTTGAGGCAGGCAGTACCAGCTGTTGACTTAGACCTGGAAGAGCTCTAGAAGTTTGTTTTTTTTTTTTTTTTTTTTTTTTGGGTCCTGTCGTGGGGCCTGAACTCTGGGCCTAGGCCCTGTCCCTCAGCTTTTCAGCTCAAGGCTAGCACTCTACCACTTGAGCCACAGCGCCACTTCCGGCTTTTTTCTTTTTGCTTATGTGGTGCTGAGGAATCGAACCCAGGGCCTCGAGCATGCAAGACAAGTGCTCTACCACTGAGCCACCTTCCCAGCCCCGTAGAAGTTTGTGACTCTCAGACCTCGAAGCCACAATGTAGGCTGCCCTCAGTCACAATAAATAGAGGCCTTTTCCCACTAATAGGAACCTGACATGCATCTTCTCAACTTCATTCTCTACTAAAGTTTAAATAGTGAATATTTGCTAACATACCCAGAAGCAGGAAGAGTACTACTTAAAACAAAACAAAACATGTCAATGGTTATCAATAACTTTTCTAGATTCTTCCACAAATCTGCTTGTCCTGAGGGTGTGGCCTGACTAATACAGATCCTGTCTAATAAGTGCATGACCCTAAGTTCAAACTCCACTACCACCAAAAAATAAAATAAAATAAAATCAATAATCAGCTAGATTTTAGCATCTGCTTCCGTGCCCCAAATAGTAAAACTTAATGGAAACATGGGAATGGTTGCTTTTTTTTTTTTTTTTTTTTTTGTCGTGGGTCTTGAACTCTGGGCCTGGGCGCTGTCCCTCAGCTCTTCAGCTCAAGGCCAGCGCTCGACCATTTGAGCCACAACACTACTTCTGGTTTTCTGGTGGTTAATTGGAGATAAGAGTCTCACAGACTTTCCTGCCCGGGCTGGCTTAGAACTGTGATCCTCATATCTCAACTTCCTGAGTAGCTAGGATTACAGGCATGAGCCACTGGTACCTGGCTGATTTAATTTAAAAATACTGTAGGTACCTATGATTTGCAGCGTGAAGACCAACAAAATCAATTTTAGGCCAGTGGAATTATTTATTATGTCTCTTTTGCTGTACTTAATGGTGTTAGTGAAGACCTCCATGATTGCTAGTACAAGGTTTGCAGCCATCCCCCCTCTCATCTCCAGCTCAAGACAGAGAGGGAGTGAGGTGGACATGGAATTAGGATTTCGGCTTCCCACTCCTAGGAGACCTGGCTCCAAATACCACTCTGCCCTCCTGGGCACTGCCAGGACATGGGGGTTGAGGTGGCAGGTGTAGATAACAAGAATGTTAGAGAAACACAGGTAGCTTTCAAGGTGTGCGTTATCTCCTGAGACTAAAGAGCAGTGACTGTTGCTAAGTAAGCAGCGTAATGGGGCTGCAGAGTGCATCCTCTCCCCTTCTTACCTCAGCTCTTTGACCTTTGGCCTTTTCAGAAACAGCCTCTCTTGCACTTCCTGATGTCTCTTCAGGTGCCCACTTCCTGCAGCACCCCCCTTTAAAACTTCCTTCAGGCACCTTTACAGAGCTACTACCTGAAGCCTTCATGTCTACACACCATACAAGATAGGGGACCCACTAGAAACAGAGCATGAGGGCCTACGCACCTTTAGCAAGTCACTGCTGGGTGTCAGTGGCTCACATCTGTAACCCTAGCTACTCAAGGCACTGAGATCTCAGAATTGTGGTTCAAAGCTAGCCTGTGCAACAGTCTGTGAGACTCTTGTCTCCAATTAACCGGCAAAAAAGCAGTGGCTCCTCACTGTCCCTCCTCCTGTCACATATCTCTGGATGTTTCTCCAAGCTTCAGCTCAACCAACCCAGTGATTTTAGGACTGAAATAGTCCCTGGATCTTATGCCTCATTCATCTCTTCACCTGACCAGATTCTAGGCTACCACCATTTGGGGGTAATTTCTAGGATCTAGTCTCTTTCTTGGCTCTCAGCTTCAAGGTGGGAGCCTAGATTTAGTCATTAGACACTCAGTACTGGATAATGAGGATAATGAATAGTCTCTTGCCTGAGTATCTTCCCTTCCAGCCCTTGGTACAATCCTGTCCTCACCCAGGCTGTCCACCAAGAAGCAAAACCTTGGTATTCCTGACCAGCAGGGGTCGCTGTTCCCTGTTACCTTTGGAGGCACTTTGGATGCTGACTTCAGTGAGTCCCACCTCCTGGGTAGAGACTCTAGCATTACCTAACCTCTCCCTGAACTGAGGTCCCCCTCTGTAGGTAGATTTGGCTGTCTTCACCTCTGCTCTGCGGGGACACAGCTACTGGCTAGTTCATTTTCTGTCTCTACCCAACTTAATTGGAGGTTCCAGGGACACCTGCCCCCAGAGCTGACACTGCAGAGTCTGGCAGAGGCAGGAAAGGTGTACTGAATGAAGAAATCATCGTTGGGCAGGAGGTGCAGTTCAGTAGAACAACAACTGCCCAGCAAGCATGAAGCCTGAATTCAAACCCCAATACCACCAAAATGAAATGATCCTAATCTTAGAGATGTGGGGGTTAAAGGCAACACACAACATTTAAAGCTTCTGTGCAGAACTAGCATATATGGAAGCATGGCTGTCTTTTTTTTGGGGGGGGAGGGGTGGTGCTGGTCCTGGGGGGTGCTGTCTCTGAGCTTTCTGAATCAAGGCTAGCTCTCTACCACTTGAGCCATAGTTGCACTTTTGGCTTTCTAGTGGTTAACTGAAGAATCTCACACACTTTGCTGCCTGACTTGGCTTTGAATCATGATCTTCAGATCTCAGCTTCTTGAGTAGCTAGGATTACAGGTGTGAGTCACCAGAGTCAGGCTAGCTTCATTATTAAAAAAAACTTTTTTTAATCATATAAGTACTTCACAAATATATCCATGTTATTAAAAAAAAAAATGTTAGGGGCTGGGAAGGTGGCTCAGTAGTAGAGTGCTTGCCTTGCATGCATGAGGCCCTGGGTTTGATTCCTCAGCACCACATAAGCAGAAAAAGCCTGAAGTGGTGCAATGGCTCAAGTGGTAGAGTGCTAGGCCTGAGCTAAAGAGCTGAGGGACAGCGCCCAGGCCGAGTTCAGGCCCCATGACCAAAAAAAGGAAAAAGAAAAAACTTTAGAAGTATTTGATACTATCAGATTGTACATACATCACAAGTTTTCCTGTTCATCTGAATGTAAACACACAGTTTGGCTTCAGTTGTTTTTTTTTTAACTGTTACATGGACTGTAGTTTCATTTTATGGTTTGGTTTTTTTTATTTACAATACATCTAGCCAATTTAGCCACATAATTACCATTTTATATTCTACCATTTGGATTATCTATGGTTTTATTCAACCAGCTTCTGGTGAGTGGACATTATA